AGTACATAAATAAAAAAAAATTAAAAAAAAGTTTCTTCATTTAAGAGAATGAGAGGTCCAGAGCAATTACAGATGTTAATTGAGACATGAATAATTTACACTTAATATCGCCAGATTTGCTGGTAACTAATATATTCATTTAAATCATCTTTCAGGGGATTAACACTTAGTTGTTGACCAAGATTGGACATCACGTATCATTTTTTTTAATTATCAAAACAAATCATTACAATCTCTCAATCAAAATAGCTGCCATATACATGCACAGCTGTACCATATAGAAAATTATACTAGTATTCCTATCATGGCAATTTCAAATAATAGATGCAAGATCTTTCAAAATGTATTTAGAAATCTAAATAGTGAGATAACGAACAGTTTACTATCAATCTCATAAATCCAGAATAGAAAATGAATAAAAACAAGCAAAAAACAAAACAAACAAACAAACCACGGACCCCTAAAACCCTAAGAGTTGGGATCAGATGCCAAGAACAAGTATTTCCTATGTAGCTTGTAACATGAGCTTTGATTGATTGCAAAGTCGGATGTAAAGAGCTAGGTTCACTTTATGCATAAAATGGCCCTGTAGATATACCAATTTATTGACTAACACATTGTGTACCACTTTCAACATAAATATAAAGTAGAGACTTAGTGCTTTCAGTTTATATAACAGAAGTTCCTTTGAAGAGTCCAGGCATTGGAAAACAGGTTGTGTGAAATCGCATTGTTATTGAATTTTGCAGAAAACAGGTGTTTTTGAGAACCTTCAGCAAAAAATTAAAATATGAGCACACCCCTCGATCCAAAAATTAAAATATGTTTTATAATCTTTATTAACAGTTCTTTTATAATATATTTACACATTTTGGATCGGAGGTTGTGCTGTATACGAAATTTTAAAAAATGGCATCATATTTTGGCCATTTTTGAAGAATTATTCAGGATGTGAATAATGACGCAATTCATGACGTCATAATGCATCAACTAGAAAGAAAATTACGTCATTTTCAGTAGATATTCATTCAGCAAGTGTTCAAGTATTATTTATTGCCTTGTCGACTAAAACTATACAGTTATAAATTTTCAGAAATTCACAGGGCCAAAAAAGGCCCTATGTGGCTCTTGCTCTTTCCGTGCACCCGACTTAAGCCGGGGGTAAAAAAACATGACGTCACAATGCATAGACGTAGTAAATCTTATCGAAAGCTTGAAACACAATTGATTGGATTTGTTTACAAAGAGTTCAACTGGGTCCACAGGAAGTAAATTCGTTATCCAGGTGCAATCAAGGGTGTATTCCATACACCCTTCGGCCTCAGGGTGCAGGGATTAAAACCCTGGGTAAATCCCGTACACCTTTGATTGGACCTGGATAACTAATATTATCTTCTGTCTACCATGCTAACCCTTGGGGGAGTGCAATTATTGTAAATGCCTCTCTTTAAATGTAATTTCCCGAAACCGTTGGATTAAGAAACGTGAATTCGAAACCTATATGGAATTAAATAACTTGAGAAGCTTAAAAAGGTTCGCTCCTGAGCTTTTGAGCAGATTTTTGTCTTGAACTATATTTAAAAAATTCTGTATAATGCTTAGTTCTTACAATAAATGTGGATTCTACCATCCCAATTAAACTATATTCAGATAAAACCCTATGATGAAATTCGATGCCAAAAGCATTAAGTGAGGGATTATATTTTGTGGCGGAAGGTTATTTAGAAAAAAATGATCATTACATGTATTTCTCTTTCGAAGTATTTTAAGTATTGTTAAATTTGGATTTTCATGCAGCCTGCACACAGAGTTATTTTGTGTGCTGTGAACTGTTTCATGCTGATCCTAAATTATATATTAAATAAATGCCATGAATTCTATCATCATATTTGAAAAATATAGCAAATATATTGTGAAAATCCAGAAAAAATAGCCCCAATTTAAGCTTAAAATTAACATTATTTTAATAATGTCTAAAAAAATAAATAAATAAAATAGAATAACGTCACATGCCCCCGCTTTTAATTTTCTTTTCTTAATATATGAGACGCTTTTGACCATTCTTCTTTAATTTAGTAAAATGCCATTACTTTCAAATGATTTTTTTTCCATGTTTGATTTTTAATTTCAGAAAAATGACATTTTTTGAGTGCAGAAAGGTCAAATAATTAACCATGCAAAGTAATTTGAAACTTTTTTGTGGACACAAATGTTATTGTGCCTGTTAATACAATATGAAATACGACTCTTTGTTCCCCTAATTTATTTGAATAAAAATTCCTCCAAAACTTTAAAATTAATTTGTCTTAGACGTAATTACAGTGCAAAAGTCATACCCATTTTTTGTTTTGATTTTTAATTAGGCTATGTGTGTAGATTCTAAAAATATACTTGATAAAAAAAAAATCTATTATACCCCACGCAACAAGTTGCGGGGGTATAATTTTTTTAACCCGTTAGTCAGTCAGTCAGTCTTTTTTTTTGTCAGCGCAACTCCTCTTTAACTGCTGTATTTCGTCAAACTTTGCAGATATTTAGGACACATTGTAAAGAATGTGCATATTGCCAGGAAATTCAATTCTGATTCCATTATTTTTCTGGGAATTTTGGCACTTTTCAACTTAGATTCTTGGCCATATCTTGAATATAGAGATGAACAGTTTGACAGCACAACTCCTCTTAAACCGCTGCACAGAATTTCGTCAAACTTTGCATATATTAAGGGCACAGTGTGTAGTTGTGCATATTGCCAGGAAATTCCGATTCCATTATTTTTCTAGGAATTTCTGTACTTTTCAATTTAGATTTTGGCTATATCTTGAATATAGAGATGAACAGTTTGTTAGCGCAACTCCTATTAAACCGCTTAACAGAATTTCGTCAAACTTTGCAGATTTTTAGGACACAGTGTGTAGATGTGCATATTGCCAGGGAATTCCGATTATTTTTGCCCTTAGAATTTTTGCTTTTATTGAAAAAACTTTCCAGCTAGGTAATAAGGAAATCTACTGGAATCAGGTTTTGTAATGAAATTTTATGTGAAATATGACCTTAAAAGACCCCTATTGATTTTGAGAACAAAATATTAGTGATTCAACACACACACACAATTCTTGGATAGAAGTACACAAAATTTCTCCCCCCCCCTTTCAAATAATGCTTTGCCTTAAATAATTTCATAAGTACAGTATATAAACAAATTAATATGACTACATCATAATTTTGTTTCCATCAATTATATAAATATGTAAATTGTCATATGTTGGACATGGTTTTACACTCATTAACAAATTGAAATCACTGAGGAATTTAAATAACAGTTTGTCAGCATAACTCCAGCACTGAATTTCCTGAAACTTTGTAAGTATTGATTTAGACATACATGTAATGTGTAGATTTGTATATTACCAAGAAATTTTGATTCCATTATTTATCTAAAAACTTCAACCCAATTAAATTTGTAACATCCAAAGATTTGAATGTTTTTATATTCAAGAAGTTTTGATGTGATGATTTTTTTTGCCAGTGATGCCCCTTTTTGTTTAAAGTGCACCGTGCTATTCATTATGTGTTGCATTGTCAAGTTTTGGAGGAGCGTGGGGTATGTGAGCTTGCTCACATTTTCTTTCATTAATTTTGATAACAGGATCCAACCTCCTTAAATTTATCTTCTAAATCAGTTTACTCAACATGAGTTAGCAAAAGTTATTCATTAACAATAACACTTTAAAAACTCTACACTGATATGATCATATAAAATATGTGGCACAAAGGCATCAGACATTAGAAGTCTAGAGTAAATTACTGAAACATAAAGATAAAAAAAAAATACGTCACCTTATACTTCCCCAGTACTTTAACTTTTGTTGAAAATGAACAGTAAAATACACTTAAAGTTCAAAGAAAATTAATGGTTTTCCTAGTTATGAGACAAGAGAGGAAAACCATTTTAACAATTCTGCTCCTTTGTTTCTGCACATTGGCAAATTTTATGATACTTTGATAAATAATGTATGGTAACGTTTATCATCAGATCAAATTGCTAAAAGGACATTCTTTTTAATCATTAATTAACTTGCAGGATGTGTTATAAAGCTGGTTTAATGTCTCTGTAAATTAAAGAATGGTATTCTACGAAAAAGCCTTGAAATGGTGGCTAAAATTAGGTTGACTCTCTATTTCCTTTAGTACAGCTTAAAAGGTGAAAGGAGATAGCGTTTTTATCCATTTGTTTGTCTTTTCATCTTTTTACTTATGTCTGTCCACAAGATTTACAGATTTATAAGGCCTCAAAGGTTTTTTTTATCTTCTTAATAAATTTGGATTTACACAATCTGAGGATGCTTATAAAATATGATTTATATTGTGGACCCGCTGCTCTTGAAATAAAATTAATTTTTTTTTCCATATTAGAATTGGAAGCCTTATTATGCCAAACCTTAGCTCCGGGGACCGCTTTTTGAACACTGAAATCGACACTAATCAAGAAGATTTTAGGTAAGTTTATTTTTATGCCCCAGATCGAAAGATCACGGGGGTATATTGTTTTTGTCCTGTCTGTCTGTCTGTTGTCAACTTTAACCTAGCCCATAACTATTGCGCTGTCAAGGGTAAGGCTTTAATATTTGACATGAGTGTTCATTATGACAAGACCTTTCCAATGGTACACAAATTTTTTTATCATGTGACCTCAACTGTGACCTTTGACCTACATTTGAAAAACTTCAACATAGGCCATAACTATTGCACTGTAGTCTACGTCTCATTCCAGAATAATGTTACCATCGGGGGCATAGTGTTTCACAAACACATCTTGTTTGTCGATGTTTTTCCCTTAAGAATTCGAACCTAAGGGTACTTTATTCCATTTCCAATGATTTTGGGGAAACAAGATGAATTTATGTGAAAAATTTTCTACTTTACGCCGACAATGAACTGATTTTAATCTGACGCTGTTGAGGTAAAATTGACAAATAATAGAAAAAAGTGAAGAGAAAAAATGTATTTCATACATGTATTCAAGTAAGAAATACCTTTTTGCACGTTCATAACAATGTACCTCAATATATCCCGTGTTTAATTTACACTGCATTCAATTACATTACATTCATGAATGTTATACAAATCAGAATTCCTTAGCTTACATTATCACATACATGTAACTTGATTTCTATTATGAGAGTAGTAAAATCTATCACATATGCATTGTTCGATGTATGTTTTTTTTTTTCTGTATGGTGTCTTTACTATTGCCTCCTTTTTAATAATGGAAAGAGACTCAATGGAATGTTTGGACAAAGATCACCAACTGTTGCTCTTTTAATACGTCACTACTGGTGCATCTATCAGCCCTCTTTTCATGTGAAAGGTCATGACCTTAAAAAGTTGTACCCAAGCAGCTTCCATTTCCTGTGTCCACTTGTCTCCAAAATGAGGCTTGATGGCAATAACAAATTGATTTCCAACCAGCTGAAAGAAAGATGGCCAATTAAAAACCTTTATTCAAATGATTTAATGTTTCAAAAAAAGTTTCTTTTCCCTCATACTAATAAAATTTCTTAAATACACAAAATATCATCCATAGAGTGCAATTCTGTAGAATTAAGCTCCATACTCTTTACTTGCATGTGTACGACAAGGAAATAATTATCTAATGGTTGAGTGTTAATAAAAAGCTCACATATTTTTAAAAAAAAACAAAACAAACAAAATTATGACTAATTGAATTACAGGGTCCTTAGCACATACTTCTGTGAACCAGACTTCTTGGCCACGAAGTAAACACTTTGTGCTCACCGACCTGTATTCTACATCAATTACCTCAGACTATATGCGAGAGTAACAAAATTAAATGTCATTACCACAACTGTATCTTTAACAAAACCGTCCCCAAAACTAATTTGTAATATCCACTGAGGACAATTCTTACATGCCTTCCATCAGCAGCCATTCAAAACATTTTAAGATTTTTTCAACATAATTGGTAGAATTCTTTTCCAACCATCTGCATTTTGAATATGACCGAGTAGAACGAAATTTAAACCAAAACCGTCTAGAACAAATTTTAAAAAAATCCTTAAGTTTCTATAATTTGCTATTTTTCCTGATCGTAACTTACACTTACATATATTCATTAAAAACATTGAAATTACTCCCTTATGTTTTTAGACGTTCTGCAGATAGAACAAAACGGGCATACATTGGATGAAAAAATAACCTTCAGTCTTCTTTGCGGAGGTAATAAAGACAACAAAACATTCCACTCTATAAATGTCATTTACATAGATGATTATTAATGTCGTATTAGCGCTGTCGGGAGGTATTGGATGAAAAAATCTAAAATTAAAAACGTGGGTCGCAATAATTATTATTTTTCTTCCAATTATTAAGTTAAAAGTTTTATAGTAAGTTTCGTTGAACTATATGAACAAACTTACGTGATTAAATTCAGGAATTGTGCTTCAATTAAAAAACAAAATCTTTACGTAGAAAATGCGATAAAATCTAAACCACCTTCTACCTTTAAATACGATAGCAAACTTTTTTATGAGAAAAGAAAAAAAATTATCTCAAGTATTTTGCCAGTCATCTTTTCTTATTAATTCGAATATGTGATAAAAGATAAAGGACAGACAAACTTCTTCTCATAGTAATAATAACTAGAGGTACATATACTTTGAGCACTTAGCTCAGAAAATGATACCCCAGCTTCAATATGAGTTTAATGGCAAAGTCCATGTTTTGCAATAGGAAAGCCCAGATATTTGTCCAATCAAAACCTTATGTTGGAGGTGCAAAATGGCATTAAATTATTTTCACTGGAATAGGAGGAGTTGCAGATAAGAGATGGGTACCCCATAACATATTATAGAAAGAATGTCAGTGTCTAAGTTTTGCTATGGAAAATTCCAAATATGGATTCAATCAAAAAGTAAAATGTGTGATTCATAATGGCACTACAAGTATGTAAAAAGATTCTGTGAAACAGTTCATTAAAATTTGGTTTAGGCCCCGTTATTAGCAGACCTATGAAGCAGAATTTGTCCAAAATCTTGTACGTGAAAAGAAGAAAACACTTGCTGTGGCGTTCAACTCGACATTTAGATATATCGACGACGTATTGTCAATCAACAATGGCTATTTTCATTCTTATGTCGATACGATATATCCTGGTGAACTTGAGATAAAAGATACCACAGAGTCTGACACATCTGTTTCATATTTGGATATTTTACTTGAAAAAGACGTTAATGGTAATCTAACAACCAAGCTTTATGATAAACGTGATGACTTTAACTTTTCAATCGTCAACTTCCCTTACTTATGCAGCAATATACCTTCATCAACTGCATACGGGGTATATATCTCTCAGTTGATTCGATACGCAAGAGCATGCTCTACGTATGTACAATTTCTAAAACGAGGTAAATTATTGACAAATAAGTTGATGAAACAAGAGTATCAGCTGTCTCGTTTAAAGTCATCATTTCGTAAGTTCTTTGGTCGATACAATGACCTTGTCAGCAAATACAATTTATCATTGAGTCAAATGCTGACGTTTTTCATACTAATTGTTAGGCCATTATTTACACACTGAATTGTCGACGGATTTTTCCGTTATTTCCCGATCATGACAAGGAGCACACGGCGGGTGTGACCGGTCGGCAGGGGATGCTCACTCCTCCATGGCACCTGATCCCACCTCCGATGTTTGGAGGTCCGTGTTTGCTCTGCTCCTATTTTGTATTGTATACTGGACTTTTGAGCTTGAATACTGTTCGTTATCTCTATATATTTCATTTAGGAGGAGTTGTGGATAAGAGATGGGTATCCACCATTATTATTTATAGAATGTCAGTGTCCAGGTTTTGCTAATGGAAAGCTCAAATATGTATCCGATCAAAAAGTAAAGTAGGAGGTGCACAATGTAATAAAGATTCTGTGAATGTCTCATTGTTTTATTCAGTGGTATACAAATGTAGGAGAAAGTTGCGGATAAAAAATGGGCACCCCAAAATGTAACGGACGGACGTACAGGCAGACAGACGGACACCCCCATCCTATACCTGCCTCCCTCGCTTTTAGCAGGGTATAATAATAATATGGTATTGAAAGATCATAAGAATTAAGTTGAAAATTTGTAAAGATTAAAAAAAATGAATAAAAACACTAACTTTAAGAACCTTACTGTGCATATTTGTGTAGATCCCTAGCATAAGTCGAATTTTAAATTTAAAAAAAAATAGCTTATAACGAGTTTTATTTCTAATGAAATGATTCTCTTCTGTCTGGGCGTTTAACTCCAAAATTAGTTTTTTTAAACAATCAACATATTGATATATTTATGTATTATGATTTTTCTCATTAAGAAAGCAATTCTAGTCCTGCATTGAACATGTTTACGATGAATTTTAAAGTTGCAGCTCTGAACAGTTCCGTCCTTAGTTAAAACCTTGCCTTAGGTTATTGATGATTTTGATCATTAGTACAGGCTAAGTTTGAAAATTCGCCTTTATACTATTCTTTGTATTACATATGACCTACTTCAGAATCTTCGTTTCTGACCACGGAATTCTAAATACATACTATACATACATGTACATGTATAATACCTTATTTACATCTTGAGAGATTAGTTACACCCTTCAAATAATTAACAATTACTTCAGCAAGTTAAGAACCGGATAAATAAATTAAGACCTGTTCAAAATTACTGGCTAATAAATTTTTTTTTTGGAAGTAAAAACTTCAAATTCACTACTGTCGATTAAAAGTATGGTTTATCTATTCTTCTCAATGCAAATACTTTGAAAAAATTGCAAGAATATAAATCTATTTATAGGCTGTTTCTATAACAGAAATGGACAGCCCACATGCAGAGGAAAGATAGCTCCTAAGTAGTTTAAACTACTGTATACATGGATTGTTGTACATGTATACGTTTATTCGTAGCTTTTCGGACGAAATCCTTCAAAACTTTTGACTGAATTAAGATTAATTACTAGGTCATGCACACCATATAATCCTTACGTCAACAAAATCGTATCTTGCATTGTAGTGCGTATGCCTCTCTCCCAGTTCGTGCATAAGGTTATGTAATTTTTCGGGAGTTTTTATTCTGCCTATGCACTTTTCTACAGTTCCCATAACCCTCAAAGCATGTGACCGTAGAATGGCGCTGTGTTCCATGTCTTCTTTTGAAAGTTGCTGGAACGGCAAAAAGGCATCTTGCACTTCTGGGTGAGTTTGAAATAAACTGAAAAGATACATAAATATTTCTTTTTATTAATGTGGCATAAGTTTTTAAATTATGGACTTTTTTCAGAACTAAAAAGGGCAAACAGTTTTCGAATTCCGATTTGCAAGTACCCGACAGAAGAGAATAAACCGGACCAACTTAGACATGTATGCACCAAGCATTGTAGTAATTGTTTGATTATACGCGAATTTAAGAATGTAAAATTAAACAAGAAGTGTCTGTGAAACACTGATGCCCCAGTATGGCAGCTCAAATGCATGTCAAATTCCAAGGTTAAGAGATCAAATTTGTTGTTACCCAAAGAAAGGACTTGTCACAAGTCATACACCTCTGAAATACGAAAGGTCTAGCACCAACTGTTCAAAAATTCTGGCCAAGTTTAAAGTTGTCCAAAAGTAGATCAAACTCCAAGATCAAGGTCAAAGGGTCAAAATTGTTGGTACTCAAACGAAGGTCTTGTCACAAGGAATACACATGTCTAATATGAAAGCCCATCATTGTATATATAGCTCCAAACATTCAAAACCTATGGCCACGTTTAAAGATTTTTGTAAGTAGTCAAACTCCAAGGTCAAAAACATTACACCCAAGGAAAGGTCTTATCATAAGGAATACACCTGTGAAGTATGAGAGCCCTAGCCCTAACCGTTCAAAAGTTATGGCCAATGTTATAGTGTGGTAAAATTTTACAAAAGTGGGTCATACTCCAAGGTCAAGAGGTCAAATATGTTGATACCCAAAGAAAGGTCTTCACACAAAGAATACACATTTTAAATATAAAAACCATAGCTCCAACCAATCAAAAGTTATGGGCAAGGTTAAAGTTTTTGCGGACAAACAAACGGACAGACGGACAGAGCAAAAACTATATGCCCCCAATCTTCGATTACGCAATAGACAAATGTTTTCTTACTTAAATACTAGACCAAAATGTCATGAAATCACAGCTGAGCCTTGAAGAAAAAAGATTGGTTTGCATATCGCTATTGATGTTTTATAATAATGCTTCAGATATGAAGGTAAGTAATCGTATTGGTCTAATAAATTTGTAAGAACTCAATAACGTTTACACAAAAATATATTCCATTTAATTTAAGTTGTAAGTCCTTTCTAACATTTCTAAGCGAAATAATATTCAACTTGTAAATATGGTTGGTAAAGAATTTATATGTTGCATGTTTTAAATGAAAATATGAACCATAAATTAAGTAAACATTCAATACAAGCTTATTCCTGACACAAGTATCATTATTGTAAACAACAGAGCACAATTTACTTTATATTCACAATGAACTTTTTCCTGCCTGTAATATTTCTCTATGATTATCAACGTAGCTAAACAGTTTTTTAAAAATGCAGATGTCAGACAATAAATGGCAAATAAAAAAAAAATCGAGATACCGTGTATGCTTTTAGACACTTATTCCATTTAAATTCTTTGGGATGATTGATAACTCCTTGAAAAGAAACAAATTAATGTTGTTTTTGAAGCACTTTTTACATATTCCGTTATAAATAAAACGCTTTACTTCTTTCTTTTTTTTAAAGAATGCATTGGTATTCCTTTTGATTTTCATAATCACTTGACACAAGAAATATTTGCTAGATTAGAATGATGGGGAGACCTTAGAGACAGTTACAAATCACATAACACACAAGACAGATGCAATAAATATCATCGAAAACAGCAGTAAATTTTGGAACAGATCTTCGGCACACAGAGCATCGTCTCATACGATTGATGAAGGTAATATGAATGTCTGAATTTCAAACAGCAAGGAATAGGTTTAACATTTTACATAAGAGAGAATAATGTGTAGAATTTATAGTGTTGATAAGATGCTATATAAGTTGACAACAATATTATTCGATATACAACCGATTTCAGTTCTTATATGCTATAAATCTACTATGAATTTTAGGGGACATTGCATTTTTAAAGAAATGAGAGATATCCTAAATGGATATCATGTATGCATATGACAAGATAGGGTTTAATATTTTACTTCAAAACTCATTAATTTTGTCTTTTGATAACACACCAAACAAAATACTGTGGGATCATTTTAATTCGTGGAGGTCATTGTTCCTTGGCTTTCAAAATTGTACTGTTTCGTGCGACGTAATTTCGTGGGTTGCATTACACAGAAAACCCATGGACGAAAACACTGAAAAAAACATCGCTTGGGGAACGTTGGTATACATATAAGAATGACCTGCGAAATTGCAAAAAAAAAATTGATTCTCCACGAACAATGGTGATTGAAAAGTTTTATTTACACCAAACGGTGATAACACAAAAACAAGACATGTTTGTGAAACACTTATGCCTCCTCTCCCCCCCCCCCCCCCCTGGACATACATCATAGGGTGCACAAGCCTTTATTGTGGGCAGTATACATTATGGGCAGTGTTCATGGAAACAAAATTGACCTTTTGAACTTAAAATCAATAGGGGTCATCTACCGCTACTATCCGAGATGCATCAACCAGAAATAGTCTTCTACATCACATCTTTGGCTAAAACACTTTTCTCATGATATTTCATGCTGAGATAATGAACGGATTTCAAATAACTGGATTTTTTCTAAGTCCAAGGGACATAGCTCTGTCAAAAATTGCTCGATCGTACCCAAAACAGAATTTGACATAGTTATTCTTATGAAAAATCTGTGTACCAAATTTCATTTCAGTATGTGCAACCTCTGCGAAGAAAATGAACGGAAACTGTTGGTGGACCGACCGACAGACAGCAGCAAAGCAATATGCCCTCCCTATTTCAAAGGGAGGCATAATAATTAAATGTATTAACCAAATCCATATTGTACTAAAATTCAAAACCCAAGAAGCGTGTTCTGAAAAATAAACAAAATTATATGCATCATTGCTTCACAATCTTTGTGTAATGCATTGAAGTTCGGAATTTGATGCCTTTGCTCTTTCAATAAATAAATAACGTGTTCTATCCGTTAATAATCTTTGGCTCATTTTCCAATCAGAAAATGATCTGGAAAGGTCTACGATAAAATATTTAAAAAGACCATGTGCCACAACGCTAATATAATTGATCTGTTCTTTCTGACACAAATTTCCAATAAATTTTATACCATGCCCATCCGAGAGAAGTGATTATAACAAATTGAACATATTTAGAAAGAATGATTGCATAAAGTCTGTCCCACGGTACCTACGTCATCCCTCTTTATATCTCAAAATACATAAATTCTTCGGCCTTCAACTGAGTTTGATCAACAGATCTTTTCTTTTTTTAAATCTGCTTTGAAAGATATCTAGTTCAACTAGTACATTGACAATATCAAAGTCAACAGGAATGTGACATTACAAAATGGCCCTCACTTTGGAAAGAGATCCATGATTTTCCGTTTGCTTGTCGTCAGTAACGTACATAGTACACAGCTAACTCGGTAAATCTCTTGATCTTGAAATAACAACTACTTCGCGAACTTGATAGAAATCGCCGAAATGAAATCTACATTGTAAATTCCTGCATATTTTGAATCTGTCAATATAGTAGTTGAACTCAAGAGTTACTTACATAGCAGAATGCTTGGACAAAATTTGTCATATCGGAATGTTTTAAGTTTTATATATATATATATATATATATATATATATATAGTCTGACATAAAAAATGTTTGGAAATGATGAGATTTTAATGTTTGATGATAATTTCTGTAAAAATAAGCCAAAGTTTATTTCATATCGTTTTATGTATGGTGAAAGGGCTTATGTGGAAAAGACTATTTGAAATATGGAAATAACGAACAGTAATGAAGCTCAGAAGTCAATTGGAACATTACAAATATGAAGCAGAGCAAACGCGGACCTCTAAAAGCATCAGAGGTATGATCAGGTGCCATGGAGAAGCAAGCATCCCCTGTCGACCGGTCACTCCCGCCTTGTGCTCTATCATGATCTTGCAAACAGAAAATCCGAGGCTAATTCAGTGTGCAAATAATGGCCTAATACTTAGTATGAAAAACGTCAGTCAGCATTCGGCTTGATGATCGATTGTATTTGCTGACTAGGTCATTATACCGACCATAGAACTTGTTGACTTCAAATGAGAGTATTAATATTCTTGTTTGTTTCATCAACTTGTTTGTCAATAGTTTGTCTCGTTTTAGAAATTACTCGTGCTTTTGCGTATCGAATCAACTTGGAGATGTAAACTCCATATGCAGGTGATAAGGGTAAATTGCTACATAAGTAAGGGAAGTTGACGATAGAAAAGTTGAAGTCAACACGTTTATCATGAAGTTTTGTTGGTTACCATGCTCATTCTGGGAAATGATATCCTTATCCACCCATCCTATTGCCGAATTTCGCTATTTCTGACAAATGGACTGTTCTTGTTATAAAAAAAAATAACTTGCATGGTAAGAAATATGACTCGAACAAATCTTTTAGCTTTTGTGAACAGGACGATACGGAACATGTCACGTGACTGCCTGGATCACGTGATTCACGCATGGGCAGAACGGTGGCAGATGTGCATTAAAATCGGAAAGGGCTACTTTAAAAAATAATGAAGACTGAAACCTAATTTTATTTCTTATATTTAAGTAATTCAATTAGCTCACGAACTTTTTGATCACCCCTTCACATTCATTAAAATTGTTTTCAATATACCTTTAAATACTTGAAACAAAGAATTCAAGCGATGATCACCCCGAAGTTTGTGCAAATATGGATCAAATCATAGATATTTTGACATTTCACGATTATAAGAAACGCCTTATTACGTTTCCTAAAACTAAAAAAAAATACATGTAGATTTTATGCTATCACAAAGAAAACATTCTATGAAACCTTCTTTTTTGCTTGAAGGTTTCTGAACTGAAATAATCTAAAATATAGAGCTCGCTTTTTCATCAGTAACAGATATTAAATTACCTCATTTCTTTTTCCTTCGCCAAGCGCTCGGCACTTTGAAGTGAAAGTTGCGGGTCCTTCGGATGAGACCTTAAAAACC